ATTCGAATTTCCCGCCAATTTTATATCAGGAACAAAGCACTGTTTCAAATACCTCCTCGCGTTTCTGTGATCCTGGTAGCAATTTCATATCCTTTCATTTTGACGATTTGCAAGGAACGTGGCCGATAAGTGCGATGATCAGAAAATAACATTCTGTATCAGGATCGCAGAAGTGGCGAGAGGTGTGGAGGTCGATAATTCGAATTTCCCGCCAATTTTATATCAGGAACAAAGCACTGTTTCAAATACCTCCTCGCGTTTCTGTGATCCTGGTAGCAATTTCATATCCTTTCATTTTGACGATTTGCAAGGAACGTGGCCGATAAGTGCGATGATCAGAAAAATGAACATTCTGTATTAGGATCGCAGAAGTGGCGAGAGGTGTGGAGGTCGATAATTCGAATTTCCCGCCAATTTTATATCAGGAACAAAGCACTGTTTCAAATACCTCCTCGCGTTTCTGTGATCCTGGTAGCAATTTCATATCCTTTCATTTTGACGATTTGCAAGGAACGTGGCCGATAAGTGCGATGATCAGAAAATAACATTCTGTATCAGGATCGCAGAAGTGGCGAGAGGTGTGGAGGTCGATAATTCGAATTTCCCGCCAATTTTATATCAGGAGCAAAGCACCTGTTTCATATACCTCCTCGCGTTTCTGTAATCCTGGTAGCAATTTCATATCCTTTCATTTTGACGATTTGCAAGGAACGTGGCCGATAAGTGCGATGATCAGAAACTGAACATTTCGTATTAGGATCGCAGAAGTGGCGAGAGGTGTGGAGGTCGATAATTCGAATTTCCCGCCAATTTTATATCAGGAACAAAGCACTGTTTCAAATACCTCCTCGCGTTTCTGTGATCCTGGTAGCAATTTCATATCCTTTCATTTTGACGATTTGCAAGGAACGTGGCCGATAAGTGCGATGATCAGAAAATAACATTCTGTATCAGGATCGCAGAAGTGGCGAGAGGTGTGGAGGTCGATAATTCGAATTTCCCGCCAATTTTATATCAGGAACAAAGCACTGTTTCAAATACCTCCTCGCGTTTCTGTGATCCTGGTAGCAATTTCATATCCTTTCATTTTGACGATTTGCAAGGAACGTGGCCGATAAGTGCGATGATCAGAAACTAACATTCTGTATCAGGATCGCAGAAGTGGCGAGAGGTGTGGAGGTCGATAATTCGAATTTCCCGCCAATTTTATATCAGGAACAAAGCACTGTTTCAAATACCTCCTCGCGTTTCTGTGATCCTGGTAGCAATTTCATATCCTTTCATTTTGACGATTTGCAAGGAACGTGGCCGATAAGTGCGATGATCAGAAACTGAACATTCTGTATTAGGATCGCAGAAGTGGCGAGAGGTGTGGAGGTCGATAATTCGAATTTCCCGCCAATTTTATATCAGGAACAAAGCACTGTTTCAAATACCTCCTCGCGTTTCTGTGATCCTGGTAGCAATTTCATATCCTTTCATTTTGACGATTTGCAAGGAACGTGGCCGATAAGTGCGATGATCAGAAAATAACATTCTGTATCAGGATCGCAGAAGTGGCGAGAGGTGTGGAAGGTCGATAATTCGAATTTCCCGCCAATTTGATATCAGGAGCAAAGCACCGTTTCATATACCTCCTCGCGTTTCTGTAATCCTGGTAGCAATTTCATATCCTTTCATTTTGACGATTTGCAAGGAACGTGGCCGATAAGTGCGATGATCAGAAACTGAACATTTCGTATTAGGATCGCAGAAGTGGCGAGAGGTGTGGAGGTCGATAATTCGAATTTCCCGCCAATTTTATATCAGGAACAAAGCACTGTTTCAAATACCTCCTCGCGTTTCTGTGATCCTGGTAGCAATTTCATATCCTTTCATTTTGACGATTTGCAAGGAACGTGGCCGATAAGTGCGATGATCAGAAAATAACATTCTGTATCAGGATCGCAGAAGTGGCGAGAGGTGTGGAGGTCGATAATTCGAATTTCCCGCCAATTTGATATCAGGAGCAAAGCACTGTTTCATATACCTCCTCGCGTTTCTGTGATCCTGGTAGCAATTTCATATCCTTTCATTTTGACGATTTGCAAGGAACGTGGCCGATAAGTGCGATGATCAGAAACTGAACATTTCTGTATTAGGATCGCAGAAGTGGCGAGAGGTGTGGAGGTCGATAATTCGAATTTCCCGCCAATTTTATATCAGGAACAAAGCACTGTTTCAAATACCTCCTCGCGTTTCTGTGATCCTGGTAGCAATTTCATATCCTTTCATTTTGACGATTTGCAAGGAACGTGGCCGATAAGTGCGATGATCAGAAAATGAACATTTCGTATTAGGATCGCAGAAGTGGCGAGAGGTGTGGAGGTCGATAATTCGAATTTCCCGCCAATTTTATATCAGGAACAAAGCACTGTTTCAAATACCTCCTCGCGTTTCTGTAATCCTGGTAGCAATTTCATATCCTTTCATTTTGACGATTTGCAAGGAACGTGGCCGATAAGTGCGATGATCAGAAACTGAACATTTCGTATTAGGATCGCAGAAGTGGCGAGAGGTGTGGAGGTCGATAATTCGAATTTCCCGCCAATTTTATATCAGGAACAAAGCACTGTTTCAAATACCTCCTCGCGTTTCTGTGATCCTGGTAGCAATTTCATATCCTTTCATTTTGACGATTTGCAAGGAACGTGGCCGATAAGTGCGATGATCAGAAAATAACATTCTGTATCAGGATCGCAGAAGTGGCGAGAGGTGTGGAGGTCGATAATTCGAATTTCCCGCCAATTTGATATCAGGAGCAAAGCACCGTTTCAAATACCTCCTCGCGTTTCTGTAATCCTGGTAGCAATTTCATATCCTTTCATTTTGACGATTTGCAAGGAACGTGGCCGATAAGTGCGATGATCAGAAACTGAACATTTCGTATTAGGATCGCAGAAGTGGCGAGAGGTGTGGAGGTCGATAATTCGAATTTCCCGCCAATTTTATATCAGGAACAAAGCACTGTTTCAAATACCTCCTCGCGTTTCTGTAATCCTGGTAGCAATTTCATATCCTTTCATTTTGACGATTTGCAAGGAACGTGGCCGATAAGTGCGATGATCAGAAAAATAACATTCTGTATCAGGATCGCAGAAGTGGCGAGAGGTGTGGAGGTCGATAATTCGAATTTCCCGCCAATTTGATATCAGGAGCAAAGCACCGTTTCATATACCTCCTCGCGTTTCTGTAATCCTGGTAGCAATTTCATATCCTTTCATTTTGACGATTTGCAAGGAACGTGGCCGATAAGTGCGATGATCAGAAACTGAACATTTCGTATTAGGATCGCAGAAGTGGCGAGAGGTGTGGAGGTCGATAATTCGAATTTCCCGCCAATTTTATATCAGGAACAAAGCACTGTTTCAAATACCTCCTCGCGTTTCTGTGATCCTGGTAGCAATTTCATATCCTTTCATTTTGACGATTTGCAAGGAACGTGGCCGATAAGTGCGATGATCAGAAAATGAACATTCTGTATCAGGATCGCAGAAGTGGCGAGAGGTGTGGAGGTCGATAATTCGAATTTCCCGCCAATTTTATATCAGGAACAAAGCACTGTTTCAAATACCTCCTCGCGTTTCTGTGATCCTGGTAGCATTTTCATATCCTTTCATTTTGACGATTTGCAAGGAACGTGGCCGATAAGTGCGATGATCAGAAAAATAACATTCTGTATCAGGATCGCAGAAGTGGCGAGAGGTGTGGAAGTCGATAATTCGAATTTCCCGCCAATTTGATATCAGGAGCAAAGCACCGTTTCATATACCTCCTCGCGTTTCTGTAATCCTGGTAGCAATTTCATATCCTTTCATTTTGACGATTTGCAAGGAACGTGGCCGATAAGTGCGATGATCAGAAACTGAACATTTCGTATTTGGATCGCAGAAGTGGCGAGAGGTGTGGAGGTCGATAATTCGAATTTCCCGCCAATTTTATATCAGGAACAAAGCACTGTTTCAAATACCTCCTCGCGTTTCTGTGATCCTGGTAGCATTTTCATATCCTTTCATTTTGACGATTTGCAAGGAACGTGGCCGATAAGTGCGATGATCAGAAAAATAACATTCTGTATCAGGATCGCAGAAGTGGCGAGAGGTGTGGAAGTCGATAATTCGAATTTCCCGCCAATTTGATATCAGGAGCAAAGCACCGTTTCATATACCTCCTCGCGTTTCTGTAATCCTGGTAGCAATTTCATATCCTTTCATTTTGACGATTTGCAAGGAACGTGGCCGATAAGTGCGATGATCAGAAACTGAACATTTCGTATTTGGATCGCAGAAGTGGCGAGAGGTGTGGAGGTCGATAATTCGAATTTCCCGCCAATTTTATATCAGGAACAAAGCACTGTTTCAAATACTTCCTCGCGTTTCTGTGATCCTGGTAGCAATTTCATATCCGTTCATAAAAATCGGTAGACACGGTAACACTGAGCTCAAGGTAGTCATTCAAAACAGTGGACCCAAATGCAGCGCCGTCTATTGGGGAGTAGCCGAATGAAAAATATATCCATCAGTATAGCTTTCCTGAGCTAATTCTGGGCATTTTCAACTAGAAAAATATTAAAAACTGTAACAAAACCTTGTAATGCGTTTTCCAGTTCAATATTCGCCATGTCGGTCCCATGGTGACTATTTACCGCGAACTGAGATCTTTACAGTTCAAAAAAAAAAACAGCAGCTATTCACTCTCCGCAGTGGTCGATCCTGGTCATTATAGATGGCGCTTTGCGGTGTCTTATTTGTATCTTCCTACGCAGACACTTGGTTGGAGAAACTTGTTGCTTATGAAGACATCTAGAGTGAAATACCGACACAAATAATCATGTACGGTAAACTTTAGTTTGAGACTATCAGGTTGACATTACCGTGCAATGACTTCACTGAAAACTAATAACATGGACAGACCAGCCAAGCGAAGGTTTGACTGAACGGAGAAAATAAAAGACATTCAAGTTAAATAAACTTAAGTAAAATCAATATATTTGTATAAAACATAATTAGACGCAAGGTAAAGTTACAATAAATAATGACAATGATAAAAATGGTACGCAACAAAAAAAAGTCGTACTGAAATGTCTTACGGATCTGCATCATACATTTACGGATATAAGACATATTTGCAACTTACATTGTAGATACCTAACCTAAGAACTAGCTGGTGAGTCCAAAAGTGAAGCGATTCCAGCGACGGTGTTGCCACGCACAGTCCAGGCGAATTTGTCTCTATTCAAGTGATTTACTTAGCGCAGGTGTGTGATCCTTAGAGTAGGTCATATATGTTTACCCAGTTTGTGTTGAGTGTTATACTTCACGACAGACTTATAGGGTCTATTTACATTCCTTTCTGCTTCTTTATGGTACCGACAAGCGTTATTCAGGGTGTAATTTAATTCATGGCTAAAAATACAGGATATGATTGCTTAGCTCATATTAGGAAGAGAGGTTTGTATGAACATATGTCCTAAACCTCTTAATTTCTGAGCTACAGGGTGTTGGGATTTTAAGAAAAAAATCGTTTCGTCATCATAACTTTAATACTGTTCTAGATATTTTCATGACATTTGACATGCATCTGCTAAGCATCAATAGGCATTTTTTGATGTAGAATATTTTTTAACATTTCTACCAGTGACGTCCGTAAAATATAGTACGCCATTGCCTTTTCCTAAAATAAAAATTTTTGAAAGCCTCATTTATCCTACCTCTAGACTTTTTTCTGTCCGATGCACCGTTTTCACGTAAAAAAATAAAAACCATCTTCATGCATTTGTAGTATAGCGAAATAATTATTTTGGACTAGTGGGTTGGTGCCCTATTTTGTTTTTAAAATAATCATATTTGATCGATTACGTTGCGGTCTTATTTTAACACAAGTATTTTCATAAACGTGATAGTTTCTTACATTGTGACAGTTTCTTTAATCAATAATAGAGGAAATAAGTTAAGTATACCAAGATTTACAAATTCCGAGTTAGCAGATATGCATTTGCTGACAGGAATGCGCTTATGGCTAGGCAGATATATCAAGAGCGGTTTCCAAATCGTATCATTCCCGTGGCCAGAATGTTTTCTATAATATACAGAAGATTACATCAAACTGAGAGTCTTAGCATCGACAATAGTTCCATTGCGGCACATCGCACCGTGAGAACACCAGAATTAGAGGAACTGTTTTAAACACAATTGAGGAACATCCAGAAACAAGTACTAGGAAAATTGCAGTAATTAATGTTTCCCATTTACCCCTATCATAATAAAAGGGTTTAAGCACTGCTGCCGCGTGATTTTCCATTGAGTTCAAATTTCTGCCGATGGTTTTTAACCCTTTATTTGATATCAAAATATTTTTTACTGATGAAGCTAGTTTTTCCTACAATTCCATTCGAAAGTAGGCACATCATAAGGAGCCGTTTTTCTTGAATGTGTGGGCAGGGATAGTTGGAGATTTCCTCATAGGACCGTTCTTTCCTTCGAGGACGACTGGATGGACTATCCTATCGTCACTTTTTTAAAGCGATTTGCCAATTTTGCTTGAGGATGTACCTATGAGGGTGCTCCTGCACAGTTTAGCCTTCATGCTAGGAAATTTCTAAATGAAGCATTTACAAATCGCTGGATAGGACGTGGGGGAACTCAATCTTAACCTCCAAGGTAGCCCGATTTAAATATTTTAGACTGTTTTCTGTGATGTACACCTCAAAACTGTAGTTTATACTACATCGATTCATACTGTAGAGGAACTAAGGCAGAAAATTTTATATTTTTAATCCATGAAAATATTTTAAAGTTACGATAAGCAAACGAATTTTATCTCAAAATTTTAACACCCTGTAGCTCAAAAGTTAAGAGGTTTAGGACATATGTTCATATGAACTTTTCTTTCTAAAATGAGCTAAGGCAATATATCCTGTATTTTTAGCCATCAATTAAATTACACCTTGGTCTAAATAATGAATGCTAATTCATCCGTATAAATTATACATTTCAGCAATGTAAAAAGCACTAATACTACCATATAATTTTTGAATGTAGCGAATCTAAAATAAATCGCATTTTTCGATACGAACACAGCAACAAATTTACTTAATTTGACTGTGCTATAGACGAAGCGAATCGAATGGATAGACCCCACGCCCTTCCCGCGACCCGCACCTCCACAAGCACAACAGGCGCAGCCACAGAAGTCGCTTTTTCGGTACGATCGTCGATAAAAACCGTAAACGGACACTATAAGTCTGTCGTGCATTATATTCAATTATTAATTGGCGCTAAAAATGGTAACTTTCAGTGCTACAAAACTCGGTCAAAATTACCATTTTTGAAGTAGTCAAGTGTCTAAATTAAATAGAGTATTTTAGGGTTGGTATTTTAAAGCATTGGGATATGTTACGAGCGTGTCCTTCTAGCGTATGAAAGTCACGAGGTTTTGTAGGGAAAGGTTTGATCATTAAGTTGGACTATTGGTAACTTCAAGCACAATTTTTTTGACTATGTTTTCAGGCACCGAAACTGGCTAATTTTAGAACTTTTCAGACTTCAAATCGTTTATAACTCGAAAACGATGAACTTTAAAGAAGTTACTAGTTAAATAACAATGATCCAATAAAAACTCGCCCGTAGCTGAAAAATGTTCTATAATTTAGATGAAAAAAATGTTCAAATAAATTTGCACCGTATTACCGTCCAGTTACCTCTTGATTCAAATTACATCCATGAAACGTGATAGTGAAAAAAAACTCGAGTCACTCACGAATGCGAGAATTTTGCCTTGTGACAAAAACTCATTGGGTGAATCCCGCCTGGACTAGTCAACTGGCAACACCGCGTTCAACTTGGCGCGTTCCTCACAAACATATACCGTAGTACAACGCGGTCACTTGGTGCGTACGCTCTTCTTCTTTTTTCTTTTGAAGAATCCGCAGCACTTCGTCTCGTCGATCAGTTCGATTTCTTGCGGTTGCGTTATCGGCGTGTTGCTGTGACCCGCCGTTGGATCGTCGGCGTTCAGCTCACCGTTTGTCGAACTGACTACTTGCACGCTGCCGTGGCGATCAGCCGGAGTTAAGTTACCTGAAACGAATATACACAATAATTCACATGACTCTAGACACCTATGGTCCACTGTCAATGATATATTCAATAAGTCATCCTATTCAAAAAACAATATTAATGAAATAAAAACAAAAACAGGACAGAAAACAGACAATATTCAGCAAATATGTGATGAGTTCATAGAATTTTTCACGAATATAGGAGGAAACTTAGCAAATAATATCAAACAAAATGCTGATATTCATCTGCATGAAACAAGACTGAATAATTCATGTGTATTAACTGAAGTAGACTATCAGGATGTTTTCAATGCCATTATGACACTAAAAAATAAAAAAAGCCCTGGAGTTGACGAAATTAGAGCTGAACATCTAAAGATACTGGCCAAACAAATAACAGAACCACTTGCTTAATCTAATGATAATACGGACGTCACTAACTATCGACCTATTTCACTTACATCAAGTTTAGCTAAAGTTTTTGAGAAATTACTCCTTAATAAAATGATTAATTTTCTTAATAAATTCAAAATTCTAAATTCAAATCAATATGGTTTTATAGCGGGCAAATCTACAACAGATGGGGTATTAAGTATAGTAGATGAAATAACCCAAAATATAGATGAAAAAGTACCATCGATATGCGTATTTGTGGACTTACAAAAAGCGTTTGACACAGTTAACCACAATATACTTTTGGAAATCTTAGAAAGAATAGGTTTTCGTGGAAACATGTATACTTTAATGGAAAATTATTTATCAAATAGACCGCAATCAGTAAAATTATTAAGCTTGTATAGTAAAGAAATGTTTGTTAAATGTGGTGTTCCACAAGGTACAATTTTGGGTCCTCTGTTATTCAATATTTATTTAAACGATATATTCAAAATTAACAGTACTGGTAAAATAGTCAGTTTTGCAGACGATACTGCTATACTCTATAAAGGTAAGGATTGGAACGACTTAAAAGATATTTTATCCAAAATGACTTTTGCAAAATTATTCAGTGGTTTAATAACCGAAAATTAACAATTAACTTTACTAAAACTCATTTTTTACCATTTTCATCACTATCTAATCATCTACCAAAATATAACCACCTTCGGTTTAAGGTAAATGATAAAAATATAAAAATCAATAGAGTTAATGATACAAAATATTTAGGAATTTATCTAGATCCCCACTTGAGATGGGATGCACATATTTCTCACATACTAAAGAAAATTAGATTCATAGCATATAAAATAAAATTTCTAACCGGTATATTAACTGAATATTATCTACGAATAATATATCAAGCTTTAGTCGAGCCACACATAACATATGGTATAGTAGTGTGGGGTGCTGCATGCACGACATACTTTAACGATTTAGATGTACTTCAAAGAAGAATTTTAAAATCAATGTTAGGCAAATCAAAATTATACCCAACTAATGACTTATATAATGATGCACAAGTATATGATACTAAACAACTTTACTTCTTACATACCATCACTCATTATCACAAAACTATTAGTGAACACGACATAATTAAACATAATCATAAAACCAGATATAAATTACGCGCAAAAAATGTTCCTAAACCAAACAAATCCCTAATGAAACGATGTCACCTGTATATAGCTCCAAAATTGTACGAACATTTACCAAATAATTTAAAACAATTACGCAATACATTAAGCTTAAAAAAAAATTTATTAACACGATTGGGAGAAATCAAATTAATAAAATAATCTCAAATATTACACAATAAATGCTCTACCATTCTTACCAATAATTTCTTTTCTCTCTATTTTATTATATTTTGCAATTCAACATACATATGATCCATGCACAGGCGTTATCCTCCTATGGATATATTATATTTATGTACTCGTTTCATGTTCCCTGTATTTTAGAGTAAATAAATATTATTATTTGTACGGGATCTTCAAAATGTCCGGATATGGCAAATATTAGATTGTTCGGAAAGTTCTTGCGGTTTTTGTTGTTTATACAGGGTATCCTTTTTGATTAAAAAAAATACAAACTTAGTGAAAAGATAATTTTTATTACTATCAACATATTCGTATATATACATAATGTCAAAAAAACAGCATAATGTCAAAAAAAAAACGGCATAATGTCACTTTTCAAGGTACGTGATACCCGTAATGTATTAGTATTAACTACTCTGAATGTGGCTTAATCAGTACTCGTCTTTTCGCCTATTATTATTTTTCTTCTTACATTTTTAGGTTAAACAAATAGGAAATAATTGTTTAATAATAACACTGGTCAACAAAATTTTAACTTTGTCGTGCCACACGGACTTTTTTGATATTTTTTACTTTAATTGGTGATTGTAAGAAAAAATAAACAGTTAAAAAAAATTTGCTAGACAAGGATTTTATTCTAAAAATGGATCTTAAGTGACATGTTGCAACCCAATGCTTGATATGACAATAATAGCTCGCTAACCAACTCTCTGTAGCTGTCACTCTTGTGGTTACTCAAAAAATTTGAAACAACATTTTTAAAAGCCTTCCATGCAGATGTTTCTAAATCGCTTAATTTTTCTTCAAATCTTGAATCTTTTATTAACTCCCTAATTTGAGGGCCAACAAAAATACCCTCTTTTATCTTTGCATCACTTATTTTAGGGAATTTTTCTTTTAGATACAAAAATCCACTCCCATTGCGATCCATTGCCTTCACAAAATTTTTTATTAATCCTACTTTGATATGCAATGGTGGTAGAAGCACATTATTTGGCTGTACAAGGGGTAAATACTTTACGTTTTTTTGCTCAGGAACTAACGATGCATGCGTAGGCCATGTTTTTTTTATATAGTGATTAGTTCTGTCTCGACTATCCCATTCACATAAAAAGCAGCAAAACTTTGTATAACCCAGCTGAAGTCCAAGTAATAGTGCAACAACTTTAAGATCACCGCAGATTTTGAAGGAATATGTACTGTAATTTATTTTTTCAAGTAAAAGTTTCATATTTTCATAGGTTTCTTTCATATTTGCAGCATGGGCCAGAGGTACAGACGGAAGCTTATTTCCATTATGGAATAACACTGCTTTTAGACTTGCTTTCGAAGAATCAATGAATAAACGCCACTGAGAGAGATCAAAATCTATGTCCAACATTTTCATAATCTCATTTATGTTATTGCAAAACACTAAATCTCCATCCGGAGAAAAATACGTTCTGAAGTGTTGATCACGGTTTCGAAAATAGCTAACTTTTGTATTATGATGTAGCAAATTCCATTCTTTTAGACGTGATCCTAATAGTTCCGACTGCTTTTTTGACAAATTTAAATCCCGAACCAAATCATTTAGGTCTCCTTGAGTTATCAAATGTGGCTCGTTTACAATTCCTTTTAACTCAAAGTCATCGTCCTCGTCAACACATTCACCTGAAGTGGACGGTTGTGAATTGTTCTCAACAGACGTAGTTGCAACTGGTATTAGTTCTGGCAATTTTTTACAATGAGAGACTGGTCTTATAGCCGAAGATAAGTTAGGGTAAATAACTGTAGTTTTTTTCTTGTAATTTATACCTTTTATGTCTGTGAGACAAAAATAGCAATCTGAAACGTGATCTCGCTGTTCAGTCCATATCATGGGTACAGCAAACGGCATAGGTCGTGCACCTTTCTTCCAGTCAGTTAAATTTATTCACACACGTTATGCAACAGACATGAGGGGCCCAGGATTTGTCTTGATGGGCGACAGAAAAACCAAAACATTTGTGATAACACTCCAACACAAGATTCGTAAAATTTCGTCGTTGTTTTTTGAATTTTAGTTCTCTGCAGACATAACAAAAAGAGTTAGGATCATTATTACACTTCCTCGGCATATTCACAGGGTTAATAAATCACAAAAAAGTGTTCAAATTCAACAACAAATATTTTTATAAGGATTTACTTGTAAGCGTTTCTGTTAATTTACTGCCGTAGTACTAGTTATGAGTATTACCGTATCACAACATATATGAGGCTAATAGACATATGACAGCTGTCATGTAATAATGAGGGTAGACTGATAAAACAAAATTAGCTGTCAAAGTTCGTGTGGCAAAACCAGTGTTGACCAGTGTAATTAATACGAATCACAATGTTGTTTATTAGACAATTTAAAAACGTTTCAGATTAGATTATAAAAATTAGTAAGATTGTGGTGATTGGGGTCGAGCACTTAAAGCTGTAAACTACAAAGCCATTCAGACAAAAATCTATTGACTTTTGGACCATGGGTCATATGAACTTTTTGACTTGTTTTGACCTCCCCTATTACCCATGGTGCTTCGGGGGCGGCACTTGGGGAAGTGGAAGCCATCAAGACAGAAACGACACGGCAAATGAAGAGCCTCACAATTGAAGACTTTCAGTAATGGTATCAACAGTGGAAACGGCGTTGGCAGAAGTGCATCTTGTCTCAGGGGAGTACTTTGAAGGAGACCACATTGAAATACCTGAACAATTATAAAATAAAGTCATTATTCCACTGTTATACGTATTTTCTGGACAAACCTCGTATACTGATTGTTTCTGCTTTTTCACATTTAAACGAACAAGGAGGCAAACATACAGCTACAGCGACGCTAGAAAATCGAAAAGGCAATTCATAGTTTTGCTTTTTGCTTACCTAAGGTGCTCTGTTTCGATGCCTCTGGCCAACCCGTCTTGTTAATCTTCGATAGAGCATGCCTATCCCTGTTCGGAGACACGACTGTCTCGTGAGCAGTGGTAGGCAACGATCCCACAGATGTTCCCATCGTTTTTCCCGTCCAATCGAACTCGCCATCGTCCACGTACCCCTTTTTGTTGAAGAGTTGCATGAATAAGTTTCGCAGATACTCATAATCGGGCGTCTCGAAGAAATCCAGCCGCCGAACATACCTAGGAATCAGAAGGAAATTTTAATCCTCATTTGTAACATCGGCTTTATCATAATGAAGTTCGGTTTTGTTTGTTAACTAAAATTGCGTAAGAAAACGAAACGTGTCTCAAAAAATTTGAAGAAATCAATTATGATGAATCCCTCGGGTATATTTGTTTCTTGAACATCTCGGCAATTAACAGAAACATTGATGAAATGCAATCTCAGGTTCTGCACCGATTAATCATCTCAGCTTTCCAAATTACGAGGGGCATTACTTCAATCTGAGAAAGAACGGGGGAGTTGTCGCTTTTGTCCGCAGTAGTCTTTCCTGCTCCAGATACGTTTCTTTGGAATCAGTCCGCAGGCTTATTACGTAAAAATTTCCAACTCTGATCGGTGAGCAACCGACCACTGTCATTGAATGCAGTTTTTGCGACCGAAACAGCGCCACTAGCAATCGCGTAGCAACCGGTGGAATTAAAGTGACATACGATGACAAACATTCGTCGTGTTTATAAATCGAAAAATGATAAATACATTGTGGATCGTGATAGTGAATATAAAATTAACTATGGGACCTAGTTTTGTTGAAAATTGAACGCGTAAGTTTACTAAGTGACATATAAATCCGAACAACCAGTTTAAATGGTTTTATTTTAATAAAATTTTGTATAAGTACTTAATGAAGCATAATAAATAAATGATAAAAATTTCAAAATGATTCCACTGCTTTAAAGACCTTTGACCTTTAATAATGTGTGGATGCACCCTGAGGTGCTACGCATTGTCCAACGCGCCTAGGCAAGCTTCTGATCAGGTGGTCAATGTCCTCCTGTGGTATCTCATTCCAGGCAACCACCACCTCCTCTCGAAGTGCTTCTAGTGTCTGAGTATGACGTTGCAAATTGAGCAATCTCCTACCCATCATATCCCACACGTGCTCAATTGGGGATAAGTCGGGAGATCTTGGTGGCCATGGTAACAATGTGACATCATTATGTTGAAAGAAGTCTATTGTGACTCTTGCAACATGTGGTCGGGCATTATCTTGTTGGAAAGTTGGATCTGCCAGGGTGTCAAGATAGGGTTCTAGAACTTCGTGGATATAACGCTGCGCGTTCATGTTACCTCTGATGAAGATTAAAGGTAAAGGTGACCTGGAACCATAAGCTATAGCACCCCAAACCATAACTCCAACAGTGTGATGAACATTTCTTTCAACAAAAAACTGTGGATTCCTCCTTCCACCACGTCGCCTTCTAAACCTGGCACGACCATCGTGCATGCTTAAACAAAATCGAGACTCGTCACTAAAGACAATACTGTTCCATTCCTGATCCCAGAGTGACCGTTGTCTGCACAACTCAAGGCGATTACGTCGGTGTTCTCGAGTTAAAGGGAGGACCCAGTGTGGCCGGTATGAAAACAAGACAAAACTTCTCATTCGTCGGTGAACACTTCGCATGCCAATAGGTCTTCCGTGTTCTGCAAACCATTCATTTGCAATGGACCTGGTAGTGGAGAAACGGTCCCTTAAGGCCAATAATCTTAGGCGGCGATCTTCACGGTCTGTTGTTCTACGGCGGCGTCCAGTGCCCCTTGCTCTTTGCATACGACCTTCTCGAAGCCATGCCTGACAACACCTAACCACAGTGTCTACACTTCTTTGCACTCTAACTGCAATTGCCCGAAAAGAAAGTCCAGCTTCCCGAAGTCCCACTATACGGCCCCTATCAAACTCACTAAGTTGACGAAATCATACAGGTCTCCGTACTCTAGGCATCGTAACCGATCGTAAAGGATGTCAAGAACCAAAATCCGCCAACGTTGATTCTTTACTGCGGCTGAAATATTCATTTTTAGAGCGTTAGTGAATTAAAAAAAAAGCAGTATAAAATCCGGAATGTCCAACTGATACGGCTGAAAATTTTTTCACTTGTTATTTACAGCAAGATAAATACATTCACCAACTTTTATTAAAATAAAACCATTTAAACTGGTTATTCGGATTTATATGTCACTTAGTATATATAATACGATGGCCTGTTCTTAAAAATGAATGTCTGTGTGAGCCGTAGATGTATGGATGTTTACATAAGTCAAGAGTGGACCCTTGATACGCACTTAATATATTCACACAGTCATTTGTCGACAAATAGATGACACAGTTTCGCATAGATTAGCCTTGAAGACTTATAAGACAGAAAGAGCGATGCAAAATAACGCGAGGGTGAAAACAGATTATTGACAAGTGCCAGTTGTTTCTCTAAATCAATCAGCACTTGCTGGCACTTACCTATGTAGTTCTAGATGACTGCTTGTTCATTAAGTATTTATTTGTGTTTGAGATTTTGTCTGACCATGAGGTGTTTGTGTTAATTTTTCAAAATGAAATATAATCTCAACATTGCAAATCGATGAGCTACTTCTCTTTGCAGAAATTCATCCTAATTTAGCTAAGGACAGTGTTGGGCTTGGAGGGAGATCAAAGGAGACAATTAATATAAAGTGGGACGAATTAGCGATATGTCTGAATACTCATGGATCTGGAGTCACAAAAAATGGACAATGCTGGAGAAGGGTGAGTTTATGTTACATTTTGTTATTCATCCTTTTGTAAACATACGCGGTTTGATTCGGCCAGACGAACACGGGTTTTTAAAAAAAAATTTACCACGCGATAATATATTTAAAGCAAAGATTTACCTCAGATACGTCGCCGTTTCTTCAGGATACCCCTCGCAAAGCACCTCAATCGGCGTGGCCCTCTTCGTATCGCCTATCTTCTGATACCTTTCTTTAAGCGTGTCAGCCTTGAGTCCTTGCCAGGGCAACGAGCCCCTCAAAAAGTACATGAACATGTGTCCTAGGGCCTCTAGGTCGTCCCTTCTAGACTGCTCTTTGCCTAAGTGCGTGTTGATTGACATATACCGCGCGGTACCTGTCAAACTTTTGTGTTCTCTATACGGTATATGCTTGTTCGTTTCCAGCTCGATATACTCCTTGGCTAGACCAAAGTCAATGATGTGGATCACTTTTTCGCGCTTGGTACTACTTCGGCCTATGAGGAAATTCTCTGGTTTCACGTCCCTAAAAAGATAATCAATAATATAATAATAATCTATACCCCCTGTATGCAAGTTTTTCATGCTGTCCATCGCACCTACCTATATATTAAGTGTCTAGAATGAACATATTCTATGCGGTGCAGTAGCTGTATTGCAATCATCAGAACGGTTTTCAGAGTGAACTTCCTGTCACACATGTCAAAGAGATCCTCCAGGCTGGGCCCCAGCAGTTCCATGACGAGAGCGTTGTACTTGCCGCAAGGGCCGAAATAGTACACGTCCGGGATTCCCTCGTGACTGCCGAGCAGCTTGTAGAATCTGTACTCTAAATGCAATTGGGGCGCTTTCGATTTCATCGGCTCCATCTTGATAGCCACGTGCTCGTTGTTGTACAGGTTCTTGCCTAGAGAAAGACGATTTTGAATGTACAGAAGAATGTATAGAAAGAGGATATGAAAGTTTAATACCCGTTTTACATCACCAATTTCTTCACGTATTCAGATGGATTTCTTCAAGGTCAAATTCTTGCTAGAAACATTGAGCCTTTTATGACTCTTGTGGTTTTGATTATGACGCGAATCTCATAAAGAGAAACTTGAATACTGTAGTTCTATCAAAGTTCTATACTCGAATAGAAAAGTTGTTCAATACAGGGTGTTATATAAGTACGCCGCCAAACTTCAGGAGGTGATTCTCTGAGCAATTTTAAGATGAGAATTTTATATAAACATAGGACCAGAAATGTTTTATTTTCAAGATACATGGTGTAAAACTTTTAAGAATCGTTTTTTTATAAATACAGCAGACGTTCAATAACGTAAACACAGGATAATGAAAACTTGCGCTAATGTAAACACAAACTTCGTTCTATAGGATCAAACGGAACGCGCGATAACGTAAACAATGTGTATGCTCGATAACGTAAACAACTCTCGGCGCACGGAAACAGCGCGACGGTAAAATGCTGAAGCCTCGATGATTTATGTCGGTCGTCGGGGAGTCCCCGATTTATGATGTAGAGTGTAGGGGATTCACCTCTGCGATAAAATACGACAAACTCGGTCAGTCGTATGATCGTTTAGGATACGTTTATACGTACGTATGTATTTCATTTTTGAACTTAAGTGAATACATTGCACGCGTTAATATATTTTACGACTATGGCATCCACATCCTATAAAAGAAAGTGTTTAAAGTTGAGTGAGAAAGTGAAAATCATAGACGAAGTTGCACTAGGTGCGGGAGTGACACAGTTAGCAAAAAAATATGGAGTATCGAAAGCAACAATCTGTAAAATTAAGCGTATGAAAACTCAAATTTTACAAAGAACGTGCAATACATTTGGAGGTCCGGGAAAAAGAAAAACTTTAAAAAATGCGAAGGCACCTAAAATGGAAAATTGCCTGTATAAGTGGTTTTTAAAACAACGGGAAAATCATGTCCCAGTTAGTGGCGAAGTACTTAACAGAGAGCGAGACTGTTAAATGAAAAACTGAAAGAAACTGAAAATTTCGTAGCTAGTGATGGCTGGCTACAACGATTCAAAACAAGATTTAAGAATGGAACAACGCAGATGAAAGTGGCCTTTATTGGAAAATGTTACCAGAGAAAACCTATGCTGCATCATTTGAAAAATCTGCCCCGGGAAGAAAGCCGGATAAACAACGAATATCGTTTCTAGCCTGCACTAATGCTAATGGTTCACACAAAATAAAGCCACTGGGAAAGCAAAAAATCCGCGCTCATTTAAAACTGTTAATATCCCTGTTGATTATGACTGTTCAAAAACCGCTTGGATGACTAGCAGTATATTCCTGAAATGGTTCCACAGTTGCTTTGTCCCTCAGGTATGACAATCAATTATCACAAATGCTCTATTCATAATTTGAAGATGTGTTTTCAATTTGTAGGTAAAAGGTTTCCTAAAACAACAGAAGCTTCCAATAAAAGCGTTGTTACTATTGGATAATGCACCAAGTCATCCTCCCGAGCAACAGCTGAGGAGCAGGGATGGGTCAATTTTCGTCATGTACATGCCGCCCAACGTAACACCGTTAATTCAACCGATGGACCAGAATATAATAAGACTCACCAAACTATACCTATAGAAAGTTTCTACTTTCGTCTGCCTTATCAAATAATCTTGAAAACTTATCTGAGGCTTTAAAAAAAGTAACATTACGAGAAGCTGTTTTAGATTTACATATGGCCTGGAATGAACTTAACCAGCAAACTATTCAAAAATGTTGGAACAATCTCTTTTGTACCAATAATGAAGATGATGAAGAAGACGATGTCCCCTTAAGCGTAATTAGAGAACGTTTGCGATCCAATAATGATAATGTTATTTATTAGTGTGTCATTGGATGTTGTTGATTTATTGAAAACAGTGAATCCCAACATTGTTTGTACTCCTGCTGATATTCATTTATGGAACGAAGATAAGCAGACGAATGATGCTGATAACGAGGAGGATATGGACAGTGAGGATGATGAGGTACGATCCCATTGAAGTCAGAAGTGTAGTGACTGACGCGCAAGCTATACAAGTTTTTAACCAAGCTTTAGATTGGGCTGAAAGAAAAGAAGTTTCATACACGGATATTTTAGTTCTTCGTAAATTACGGGCGCAGGCATTGGAAGACAATGCTAAGCGCAAATTTACGCAGACAAAAATTAATTATTTTTCTTCTAATTAAAAAAATACTTATCGCTGTTAGAATATTTGTTTATTTTGTTATAAATAGTATGTATTAAACGTTTCTTTTAATAAATCAAATATTATATAAATCACGTTCGCTAATGTAAACATTTCAATAATGTGAACCAGCCTTGGATTAAATTAGTTTACATTATCGAGCGTCTGCTTTCAGTCGGTATTGTTTAAATTTCGCAGTGATATTAAGGGCAGTAAGGAGCTAATTTGGCCCTAATTCGATTGAAATTATTAAGTCCAGCGGCATCCCGGAAAACACGCTAACCAACGTGCAACGCCACTGGCAAAACATTGCAACAATAAATAACATTATGTAAATATTTTATGTTTATTTGTTTGATCAAAAGCATTTATAATCTGACGTCTTTCGTGTAACTTAATTATCAAAAACATGTAATAAAGAGATATTTATTTTTTACCTCTCCAAAACATACCTATGCGAAGTTACCTTTCCCGGATGTCGCGTCAATCGTGACGGCAGTTTGCCGAGCACATTGATTTTGGGCACCATAAATTAGAGTAAATTTCCACTTTTTCGGCTAGTATTTAAACCATTTTGGAAGAAGAATTTTACTGACCCAAGATTGTCAAAAAGTTGACTGACAGCAAATTAAATTCTTTCTTTAACTTGGCTACAAATAACTGTTGATGAAAAGAACGCGGAAAAAAATCGGGTTGTTATTTGATTGTTGGCACGTTTAATCTTTCGAATTGTCGCTTATGTTGGTAGTTTCCGTTTTAAATTATAAACGAATTGTAGGTTTGGCGAACCCTGACGGGCAACATTTTGGACACTTATATGAATAAAAAGTGATATTTTCCTGTGTTTTTCGGATAAATAAATTTTTTTCTAATTTTCGTGAAAACGAATCGACTGATTTTAAAACGTCAAAACAAAGGACTTCTAAAGACCTTTCAAACAAGCTATTACTTGATACCCCTTGTCATTTAAAATTTTTAAGGGATGACCCTATCTCGGCGTTTTTTCTTTTAATCAGTGGTTATACCCCGTATATAGATTAAATGACAGCTTGTATGTTGCGATCAAATTGTGTTACGATTCAATTAATTATCGCAATTAGTTGTAGGTAAAATAGTCTTCTGAGTGATGCAAAAATCTATGAAGCCACAATCAAAACAAAATAAACATAATAGCCACATTATTCAGTGTATAAAATTAACTATAAACACAACGTTAAATCATGTGAAATTAAGATAATGCATAGACCGGCCTTGTGCTGTCAATCCTTGCAAAAACTTGCATTGTATAGATTACTATTAAAGTCCTATAAAAAATGGCATCAAGTAGGTTGACTGTACAGGGTGGTCCACTAAGAATGTGAGGTACTGTATCTGCCAACCTATCCAACGTAGAGGCTCGCGGCAAAAAAAGGTCCTTACTAAAACGGCCAAGAGAAAACCCTGGAAAATTTTTACAGTTTTTTAAATAATCGCTAGGGGGCGTAACAGCAATCTTGAATCTAAAAAAGCGATGTTTCTGTGCATATAATAATCTAACAAAAAAATACCTGATCTTTAAGGTCGAAGATAATGTGAACTTTTTTGTTTGACAATGTTCGCAGTATCTCTGAAAATATAGTGGTGGGGGGTATTCAAAGGTTTCCGTAAAAAAGACCCTGTATCTTCGAAACGGCTGAGTCAATTTTGACAAACTTGGGCTAGTTGAAAAGAGCTATTCTTGGGCTACTATTTAACGTTTTGTTAGTTCCACGTGTGGCCGCTAGAGGGTTTTTTCGACATTCCGACCGAAATGGTTAATTTCCTTAAAACACTTTTTTTACGAAAATGTAGCTAAATGATGTCTAAATAAGGTCGCGAAAACATCATCTAGATATCTTGTTCTTAACCTAAAATTTAAGCCAAAGAAAATTTTATACGGTAATTAATCTCTTAAATTTTTATTTTTCTAAACTAATTTTTCTGGAATTCTAATCCCAACATAAATATACTAAGTGTCATATAAATCCGAACACCCAGTTTAAATGGTTTTATTTTAATAAAAGTTGGTGAATGTATTTATCTTACTGTAAATAACAAGTGAAAAAATTTTCAGCCTTATCAGTTGGATATTCCGGTTTTTATACTGCTTTTTTTTAATTCACTAACGCTCTAAAAATGAATCGGCCGCAGTAAAGAATCAACGTTGGCGGATTTTGGTTCTTGACATCCTTTACGATCGGTTACGATGCCTAGAGTACGGAGACCTGTACGATTTCGTCAACTTAGTGAGTTTGATAGGGGCCGTATAGTGGGACTTCGGGAAGCTGGACTTTCTTTTCGGGCAATTGCAGTTAGAGTGCAAAGAAGTGTAGACACTGTGGTTAAGTGTTGGCAGGCATGGCTTCGAGAAGGCCGTACGCAAAGAGCAAGGGGCACTGAACGCCGCCGTAGAACAACAGACCGTGAAGATCGCCGCCTAAGATTATTGGCCTTAAGGGACCGTTTCTCCACTACCAGGTCCATTGCAAATGAATGGTTTGCAGAACACGGAAGACCTATTGGCATACGAAGTGTTTACCGACGAATGAGAAGTTTTGGCTTGTTTTCATACCGGCCACACTGGGTCCTTCCTTTAACTCGAGAACACCGACGTAATCACCTTGAGTGGTGCAGACAACGGTCACTCTGGGATCAGGAATGGAACAGTATTGTCTTTAGTGACGAGTCTCGATTTTGTTTAGGCATGCACGATGGTCGTGCCAGGGTTAGTAGGCGACGTGGTGAAAGGAGGAATCCACAGTTTTTTGTTGAAAGACATGTTCATCACACTGTTGGAGTTATGGTTTGGGGTACTATAGCTTATGGTTCCAGGTCACCTTTAATCTTCATAAGAGGTAACATGAACGCGCAGCGTTATATCCACGAAGTTCTAGAACCCCATCTTTTACCCTATCTTGACACCCTGGCAGATCCAACTTTCCAACAAGAAATGCCCGACCCATGTTGCAAGAGTCACAATAGACTTCTTTCAACATAATGATGTCACATTGTTACCATGGCCACCAAGATCTCCCGACTTATCCCCAATTGAGCACGTGTGGGATATGATGGGTAGGAGATTGCTCAATTTGCAACGTCCTCCTCAGACTCTAGAAGCACTTCGAGAGGAGTGTTGGTGGTTGCCTGGAATGAGATACCACAGGAGGACATTGACCACCTGATCAGAAGCATGCCTAGGCGCGTTGGAGAATGCGTAGCACATCAGGGTGCATCCACACATTATTAAAGGTCAAAGGGCTTTAAAGCAGTGCAATCATTTTGAAATTTTTATCATTTACTTATTATGCTTCATTAAGTACTTATACAAAATTGTATTAAAAAGAAAATCATTTAAACTGGGTGTTCATATTTATATGTCACTTAGTATAATCCTCAAAAAGTGATTTTATTACCTTGAGCAATTTTTGTATTCACCAAATGCGTTTTACGAACGATGAGGCTGTTGATATGCTTGCAGTTTGTTTTGAATGTCTTCAGAATGCCCCAGTAGCAAAAAGAGTTTACGCGACTCGATCCAAATCGGCGTGTTTGTGATGTGACTGTTTTCCCCAATTAGTGGCGAGCTTACGAGCCAATGGTAGTTTTCGGCGTACGTGTCAACGCCAACGAATTTAAAGAACACAGGAAAATATTAACCGCGTACTGGGATATATTGAAGGAAATCCCCATGTTCGGTTCAAAATATTTTGAAAGACCATAGGTCATCAAAATGTAGGGATTTATTTTGATTTAACTTTTTTTTGATTACTGTCAGGATGCACCCATATCATGCAGTTTCAATCTGCAGAATATGCATTATTGGTCTGCAAAAAAACCGCACTGGTTGCGGAAAGTTCAGCACTAAGGAAGTTGGAGTTTAAATATCTGGTATGGCATATTGGGAGGCAGAATTTTTGAGCCATCTTTTTTCGAGCAATCCCTAAGTGGCAATGTCTTTCTTGACTTTTTTGACAATCTTTCACTGTTGTTGTTAGCAGATGTGTCGCTGGAAACACGGCAAAACTTGTTTTTGCAGTTGGATGGTTGCCCAGCACATTTGCTATTGTGCGAGAGCATATTAATGAAGTATTTCAACAGTGGTGGACTGGAAGAGGAAGATTGTTTCCATAGCATTCGTGATTACCAGACTTAACTTGTCTTGATTTTTATTTATGGGGATGGTTGAAGGAGACTGTGTTCTTTTTTGAATCGGTCCTTTTTAGGGCAGTAACTTGATAATAAAAAGAAATTCTAGAAAAATTAGTTTATAAAAATAAAAATTCAAAGGATTTACACATAAAATTTTCTTTAGCCTAAAGTTTAGGTTAGGAACAAGATATTGAGATGCGGTTTTACAGGAGCTGGTTTAGAATCACACAGACACTTTTTAATAAATAAAAATCATACCAATGCATTTAATTTCCTTTGAGAAAATTAACCGTTTCACAAGTGAAACTAACAAAACTTCAAATATGTTCCAACAACAATAGTAAAACTTTCCATTCCAGTTTTAAAACATGTTTTGTGTTTACTTATTAATAATGCTTTTAGACAAGGATCATTCCCAGAGAATTTGAAAATAGCTGTTATAAAACCAATTTTTAAAAAAGGTAATCCAGAGCAATTGGGAAATTATAGGCCAATCAATATTTTAACAGGTTTTTCAAAATTATTTGAGTTAGGCATCAGTAAGAGATTATTAGAATTCATGAATGACTGTAATTTATTTAATACACATCAGCATGGTTACCTACATGGGCGATCAACAGATACTGCAATCTTTCAATTTGTTCAAATAGTACTTAAGCAATTAGAGAAGGCAAACTTAGCGGTTGGTTTCTACCTGGACTTGTCCAAAGCTTATGATTGCATCAACAGAGACATATTGTTATTAAAGCTACAAAGATATGGTGTAAGAGGAACTGCGCTAGAATTGTTCAAGTCATACCTCTATAATAGACAACAGAGGGTTGAAATTGTTAAAGGAGGTCAAACTTACAAGTCAAACATTGAGTTGACTTCAACTGGCATAGCACAGGGTAGTATACTTGGGCCCATTTTGTTTGTAGTTTTTTTAAACGATCTCTGTTTTGTTACTAGAGGTGATCATAGCAAGGATAAAATTATCTGCTATGCTGATGACACAAATTTAGTGTTGGGTGGGACAAGTGTGGAGGACCTAACTGCTAATGGGAATCTCTTATTTAGAAGTGTGAATACATGGTTTTCTGAGAACAAACTAGTGCTGAATAAGTCCAAAACTGATGCAACATTATGTAGAACTAAGCAGAGTAAAGTCGTTAAGCCACAATATATCGATATAGATGATCATCAACTGCAGTTGAGTGAAAGTGTAAAATTCTTAGGCATCTATATTGATGAATTTTGAGATTGGACAACACATGTATTCGAACTGCTGAAGAGGCTCGATTCCATTTGCTATGGTTTTAGGGTGATATCAAGATATCTAAATAATACGAGTATGAAAATATTGTACCGTGCTAATTTTAAAAGTGTTCTAAAGTATGGGATTATTTTTTGGGGACGCAATAGGTTTATTCAAAAAATTTTTGTTGTTCAATAAAGAGCAGTACGTCTGCTAAAGGGACTAAATTTCAATGTAACTTGCAGGGGGCGTTTAAAACTGAAAAAATTATGACTGTGTATGCCATCTATGTATATGAGTGTCTTATATTTTTTTTGCAAAAATAAAAATTTATTTGAGGTTGAGGTGCAAACTGTTTATGATACTCGAACAGTCAATGTTGCTTATCCAATACACAGATTATCCTCCACAGAAAAAAGCCCTATTTACATGTGTTTAAAATTTTTTAACAATCTACCAAATGAAATTAAAAACTTAAACAGTTTATATAAATTTAAAAAGACTATTAAGCAATTTCTAGTACAGTCAGAGCCTTATACAATAGATGAGTTCTATGGGAGTTGTAATAGTATAAGATAGTAGCTGTTATAAGATAAATAACCATGTAACACAAAAAAAGGTCTCAGGTAAACTATTATAGTTATGGTGACAGTGACGCAACATTTCATTTTGTAGTAGCTATACAATTTTTGTAATGTCATTGTACAATTTGGAATATAGATTATTATTATTATAACATTTGTAGCCCAAGAATAGCTCTTTTCAAGTTTGTTAAAATTGGCTCAGCCATCTCGAAGATAGAAGATGTTTCAAGTATCAAAATAAGACCACACCCTGAATAGAGGATAGTTTATTGTCTGAGAGACCAAGCCAAGACCATGCTGATGAGTTGTCAAAAAAGCATGAAATGCTGTCTGTGGTTGGAAAGACAGATATAACATGTTCAAGTTATAGAAATTGAGGACTAACAATACCCCATAAATTTGTATTTAAAAAGAAGTTAAGCAAAAATAAAATCTTACCTAATCTCAGCTCCCCGAAGTTTCCACATCCAATCTTCTTGCCGACTCTAAAATTAGGCCCAACCATGAGCACTCCCGAGTTAGAGTTAATGCTGTGTCTGGCATTATGTAAATCACCAGCACCATGTCTTTTGGCATTCTTCTGCTTCTGGTCTCCTTTGTCCATCATGAAGCGCCTTAGATACCACCAAAGAAATGTATATCGAAGACTATGACTGTGTCCTCATATAACAATGTCTATATCACACATATTTTCTTTTCAGAAATATCACAGTTAATCCAAAGTTAAGCAGCAACTGGGCGAGACAGCTTTTCCATAATATATTGTGAAACAAGTTCAAAATTGCAGAAAGTATATTGCTACTTGGTGATATATTGTAAAGCAAAATTAAATAATTAAGATATCATCTATACTTTTTCTAAGTGAGTTGTGTATTTTATTTATTTGCTAGCATTAGTAGGATTTGTTTGTGTACTTATAGTTTAAGAGATGTCATGAATTATACAATTTGCTGAGCATTGAGGGGAAACACAGGAAAGTTGAACTGTTCTATCTTAAGAATACCTGCAAAGAAAATACAAATCTTTTAGTACAGCATCACTCCTAGGACTGTGAAATTAGATAATCGAAAGCAACTCTACCCTAAATATCTGCACTGGGATCTCAGCTACACCTTGGAACACAGTGGGCTCCACCATTCTTCACCTGTTTAAAATAATACATCGTCCTATTAGAATATTCATGTAGGGCATAAAGGATCTTACCAACCCTATACTTCCATCTAGGTTAAAGGTAAAATGTACTAGAATATCCTAAAATATTTTCATATTGTATGCTTTTTTTATAACCTATAAGTTTGACACTTGACACTCGTGACGAATAATGATGGTTGGGCAGTGAGGCAGTGTTGCCAAGCCTACAGATTTTTCGGTATTTTAACCGAAATGAGGCATTATTTACCGAAGACGTCTTCTTTTTTTTAAGTATTTCCTTGAAAAAATGAATTCTATCTCATAATATATGTAATTTTATGGCCCATACATTTGTGTATACACTTAGGTAATCGGGCATATAAGGGACCTACATTTGGGTTGCCTATAATATTATCTACCCACATTTCTTAAGGCCGGTCCAGACGCTCCGTTTTGCACAACCTTTTGTAGTCAAAGTTCAACACGATGCAGATAAAACGTTGCCTGTGGATTGGCCAAGTGCGCAGTTTTGAATTCGACGACGGTACAGTTTCAGCGATAACTGAGCGAAAAAGCATACGAGCCTTGTCTCAATGAAGTTGGCTCAACTATCAAAACTACGTTTTTTATGAAAAATGTCATATTAGCGGGAAAGTACTGAAAACTAAAATGTATTTCTGATTACATACGATATTTTTAATTAATATTTGCCGAAAATACTACATTTTTTGTGACAAAGATAAAATGTCGCACAAATTCAAAGACACTGCCGATTAATAGAAATCAACGAAACCAAATAGCAGCAAATCACTACTGTGCTCCATCGCCTTTTCGACTGATTACAGCTTCGATCCGTCTTGACACAGTCTCAACAGCTCATTGTAAAAGTTTTAATAAATGTATTAATCTTTTACTTTCCACGACTACTGGCATGTGGCATGTATTGTAATCGTGAAAATTTTCTAAAAAGAGAAATTGTCTTATTTAAATGTTATGTGACATGTACATGTACATTTCCGTCGGAGCCTGTTTGTCGATATGTAAACTAATCTCATAACCTTCTATAGCTTGAGCAGTACTTCTCTGATTTATATGAAATTTTCACACAACTACTACGCTAAGGACGCAAAAGCGTTGCAGTTTTTGAAAACCGGTCTAGTGGTGGCGCAGAAAAAGAACAAAAACGAAAAAAAAATCGTTAAATTTCGTTTTTTGGCGTTTTAGAGGGTCCTGACCATTATCGAGAACATTTTTGTAGGGGTCCAAAATTGGGGGTTAACTTAAAACTTAGATATATACTAAGTGACGTATAAATCCGAACACCCAGTTTAAATGGCTTTATTTTAATAAAATTTTGTATAAGTACTTAATGAAGCATAATAAGTAAATGATAAAAATTTCAAAATGATTGCACTGCTTTAAAGCCCTTTGACGTTTAATAATGTGTGGATGCACCCTGATGTGCTACGCATTCTCCAACGCGCCTAGGCATGCTTCTGATCAGGTGGTCAATGTCCTCCTGTGGTATCTCATTCCAGGCAACCACCAAGTCCTCTCGAAGTGCTTCTAGAGTCTGAGGAGGACGTGGCAAATTGAGCAATCTCCTACCCATCATATCCCACACGTGCTCAATTGGGGATAAGTCGGGAGATCTTGGTCGCCATGGTAACAATGTGACATCATTATGTTGAAAGAAGTCTATTGTGACTCTTGCAACATGTGGTCGGGCATTATCTTGTTGGAAAGTTGGATCTGCCAAGGTGTCAAGATAGAGTAAAAGATGGGGTTCTAGAACTTCGTGGATATAACGCTGCGCGTTCATGTTACCTCTGATGAAGATTAAAGGTGACCTGGAACCATAAGCTATAGCACCCCAAACCATAACTCCAACACTGTGTTGAATATGTCTTGCAACAAAAAACTGTGGATTCCTCCTTTCACCACGTCGCCTTCTAACCCTGGCACGACCATCGTGCATGCCTAAACAAAATCGAGACTCGTCACTAAAGACAATACTGTTCCATTAGGTCTTCCGTGTTCTGCAAACCATTCATTTGCAATGGACCTGGTAGTGGAGAAACGGTCCCTTAAGGCCAATAATCTTAGGCGGCGATCTTCATGGTCTGTTGTTCTACGGCGGCGTCCAGTGCCCCTTGGTCTTTGCGTACGGCCTTCTCGAAGCCATGCTTGACAACACCTAACCACAGTGTTTACACTTCTTTGCACTCTAACTGTAATTGCCCGAAAAGAAAGTCCAGCTTCCCGAAGTCCCACTATACGGCCCCTATCAAACTCACTAAGTTGACGAAATCGTACAGGTCTCCGTACTCTAGGCATCGTAACCGATCGTAAAGGATGTCAAGAACCAAAATCCGCCAACGTTGATTCTTTACTGCGGCTGAAATATTCATTCTTAGAGCGTTAGTGAATTAAAAAAAAACAGTATAAAAACCGGAATGTCCAACTGATAAGGCTGAAAATTTTTTCACTTGTTATTTACAGTAAGATAAATATATTCACCAACTTTTATTAAAATAAAACCATTTAAACTGGGTGTTCGGATTTATAGGTCACTTAGTATATTATATTACAAATATTTATTAAATATTTGTTTAAGAAAACAAATATTTAAGTAAGATAAAAATATTATTAAATATTAAATAAATATTTAATGATTATTTCGTGTTATCGAGGCTGGCTGCTATTTTGGTAGTCAAAGAGAGTCAATTGAGGGATAAATAAAAGGTATAAAATAAATCTACAAATATTTATATAAAAAAGTTATCTTTATAAAAAATAAATATTCGCACTATGTACAATAATAAATAGTTCAGACTATTGACAGTGATTTATTTCCGATTAGCATTTTTCTTGTTTCACTTCCTCCAAATGAACTTGTACTTCTTCAGAATCTGTCTCTTCTTCTTTTTCGATAAGAGCAAACAGGTACTTATAGATTCCACAGCCTAAGATGGCTCCCATATTGGGGGCTATCCAGTAAATCTGAAATTGAAAATTAAGAGCTTTAGGCGTAAAGACGTTGTTCAACTGCAAGTGTGTTTGATCCAGCATTAAAATGATAGCGGAATCTTAGTCATATTTCCATAATCAGGACTCACCCACTGATCCTTAAAATTGCCATAGATCAAGGCTGGCCCGAATGTTCTTGCCGTGTTCATGCTAGCACCCGTTAGTGGACCCTAAAATGAAGTTTTCAATTAATTCACGAGTTCAAAGTAATTTGGAGTACATCCAAATTCCGGACGTCAGTTGCATCTTCGTCGGTCAATTTTGGCATGATTCATGACCACGTCAATGCTCGTTCTGATAAAAAATTTCTTATTTAATTAAACAAAAACGCACTACATGTTAATCCATTTTCATTTATTATATCAGATGTTTTATTTTTTGCATAAGACACCGATCTGTTTGTCGACAATATCATCCTTCTCATTGTGGTATTTTGGGTATTTTTTCGAAATATTTTCAGACGGTGCTATGCTTAACATTCGTGATAGTTTTATAAAGTATTAAACATGATGCAATCAAGCAGATTAGGTACGAATTACATTGAAAAAAATCGATTTACGGAGCAATTTCACGGCATCAACTTCTAAAACCTACCCATCTCAACCATGTTTTTCCGCATTTAAAATATCTCGTAGGAAGAAGCGATGACATTGCATAGCCTTAAAGATTTGTGAAATCGAGTCATGATATGGATGCGTACTCTGGATGGATTGTAGATTTCTTAAATTCCTTTTTTGAGAAAATTAATAATATTAATATCAGTCAAGCTCAAGCTCAACTTTTGTATACTTCAACATTGCATGGATTGGGATTATAGTGTGCCAGATCTAGCTTATCAATTTCCAAACTATTTTTCTTGATTCTTTAAAAAAACATCGCATAACCCCAGCAGAGATATCGAAATACAAAGATAAAAAACAAATTGCTGATTTTGCAAATAACTTTTTTATAAATATTGGCAGAGAAATGTCAGATAAAATTGGGAACCCTCCCACACCTTTTCAATTTATAAGTAGCCCTTCCTATAACGGTAATGAAATTATTGAACATATAATAAGTCTAAAAAATAGTTGCTTTCCAGGATTAGATAAATTAACGACTAAAATAATTAAACAACTACATGTATATCTCTTAGATCCCTTAGTTCATATAATCAATCTGATTTTCAAAACGGGAAAAGTACCTAAACAATTTAAAACATCGTTTCTAACACCTATTCACAAAGCAGGAGATAAAGAATGTATAAGTAACTATAGACCAATAAGTATAATCTCAAATTTAGCAAAGATATTTGAAAAATGTCTTAAGGTTAGATTGGTTGCATCCTTGGACTCAAATAAGCTGTTATCTGAGAATCAGTTTGGTTTTAGGCAAGGTTTAAGCACATCACATGCGGTTTACGAATTAGCGTCTAAACGTCTAAAATAATGTAAGTATCATTTAAATAACGGTGATAAGTGCATCGCTTTGTTTTTGGATTTAGCAAAGGCATTTGACACGGTATCTCATCCTATGCTCCTCCAAGCACTGGAGGGACATGGAGTTAGGCGTGCTGTGTTAAGTGTATTTAGAGATTATTTAATGCATAGGATTCAGTGTGTCAGGATTGCGGACGTTCTAAGTGAACCAAAGACGGTTCAGCATGGAGTTCCACAGCGTACAGTACTTGGGCCGATTATTTTTAATAGATATGTAAATTACCTCTGTAGTCTTTCAGTTGATGACGTTGTAATTGCATATGCTGACGTCACTGTGGTGGTGTTTCATGGAGAGACATGGGAATCAACGGGTGGAAAATTGAAGACTGATTTTGCAAAAATTAAAGACCTTCTGGACACATTTAAGTTAACTCTGAGTATAAAAAAAACTCGTTACATTGCCTTCTCTATAACCATGGCTAATAGACCAGCATTTAATCAAATTATTCTTGATAATATAGATGAGCCTTTGAAAGAAGTAAATGAAATTAAATATTTGGGGGTTGTTGATAAGCACTTGAAGTGGGACCGACATGTGCTGTATCTGAGCAAAAAAATTAGATTTTTCATCCATAAATTCTACGCTCTTCGTAACATACTGAACATTAAACTACTATTAATGATTCACAAAGCACTTGTGGTGCCTCTTTTGGTATATGGCATAATTGTGTAGGGTGGGATGTACGGTTCAAATCTTGGGCAGTTAAAAGTGGTGCAGAACCATATTGTAAGGATTATTCTAAAAAAACCTAGACTATATTACACCATGCAACTTTATTCTCAAGAAATAAACAATATTAAAATCTTATATATCCTTGCAGTATGTAGTTTTGTACATGCAAGTAAGAAATTAAATACAAATTATGTGTCCCACAATTATATGACCCGATCAAACACCACTCATAACCTGAACGTCCCCCAGTCCAGGCGAGATTTAAATTTGCGTTTTGTGACATATCTTGCACCTAAATTTTACAGTTTGATTCCTGCTAATATCAGGAATATTGAAAATATTAAAAAATTTAATGTTTCGTTTAAAATGTTCTGTTGGGGAAAATCGTGAACAATTTATGCATTTATTTGAAGTTGCTTTGAGGTAGATTGATCTGCCTTTCTTTTCTTTCTTTTTGATATAATTGTGATACTTTTTTTTGTGATCTTAAATTATATCTATGACTTACAACAAAAATATGAAATTTTCTTTCATTTTGTCTATATTGTGTTTCATGTTTTGTTAGTATTGTTGAGCGATTTTATACAAAAATATATATTGCACGATATTTATCAATTAATTACTGTTTTGGACTGTTTTTGCGCATACAACTTTTTAAACGTAGGCGCTCATATATTATACAAGGTGACTTTGAAGTTGACTCATTAATTTTCAGATAATGATTGTAGAAGGAAGATAAACCATAATATGTGTGTAAAAATAAAAAAAATAAAAAAAATTTTTACCTTGTTTTATAAAGTATCCTCCCGACAAGTATTTCAGTGCGGACCTGTATTTGATCGTGAGGTCTTGTCCCCTGTGAGGTCTTAAGTCACCTGATTCACGAGCCCGTTGTACTACATTAACAAAGGCACGAGGGGTTGGTTGCACTCGATTGGGAAACCGATCCGCATAAACATGTGGCATTTTTTATTTCGTTTGAGCCACGCAGCAACACCACTATTAACTCACGCGTTAGCGACTGACACAGACTGGATAAAAACATCGTGATCAGCGTTTCAAATTCGTTCGCTTTTTTGTTTCCGATGCGATGAACCGATAAGGCGGATTATATCCGTTGTTGCCAAACACGAGCACATAATAATATTATTATTGAGACAGGGCGGTACTCAAACTTCTAAAGGGCTATAACTTTGTTACTTTAATTTTACCAGAAAAATGTTAAAGGAAAAAAACATTTCTTTTGATCAGATCTACTCACTGTTAAAATAAATAACTCAACTTCGAAGTCACCCTGTAGAAAAGCCTTGTTTTTGTTTTGTTAATGTATAGATATACATTATTTTTATATTGGTAAATTTGGGTTTTGCTGAATAAATGTGGTAGAGTTCAGGGCGTACTGTTCTCTCCAACAACAACAACAGTAGGACATTTTGCATAACGACTTGCTTGAGTGTCCATTAGCTACTTTATTGCCCCAAGCCATTCATATTGTTATTAGCCTCATGCTTACCGCTGCCATGGATATTCCCACGACGACCAATGCGAATCTTATGGGTGTTGAGTCTGTATTGTGGGCGTTCCTTTTGTCCCACACAGCGCACACGACGATGATCAATGTCGTGGTTATCACCAGTTCGATGGCCATCGCTTGTAAGGTGGTTATCTTTTCGTGAGGCAACGTCATACAGAAACCATCTCCGACATACTCGGCAGGAGCTAACGCCTGAAACACAATAGACATTTGTAAATGCTTATACTAGACCATCATTCGTCAGTCATGCTAGATCACCATGAGTAACAAATTATAGTGCGAGTTTGTGGTTGACCAAATATCAAGAGTTTATCTGAAGACAGTGTTTATACAGAGCGTCAAAGACAATGATGATACATCACTATGAATCTCTGGACCGGTTAGAGTTATTACATTGGGTATAAATACCTTCAGCAATGCAAATCCAAGAGTGGCTCCTAGGAATTGTCCAGCGATATATGCAATCGCCGTTTGGAAGTTCATAATTTTGTGTATCACAGCCGCTATAGTTACTGCAGGATTCAGATGGGCACCAGAAATGTGGCCGAACGTCTAAAAAAAGATACATCATATTTGTAATACAATTAACTTCACTTCAAGGAATCTAAGAATAACCTATAACTTTTCCTAACTTGACTTGTAGTGGGATCTTGGAATAAAATGCGCATTAACACTTCCACTTGTTCTCTTCTAAAATATAGTATAATTGGAATTTCAATATGATGTTTCGTCTCTTGTCCTATTTTTTCTTATAGACGAATTTTTGCTCAAAATTATTGAGTTTTTAGTTCTGATTTCAAAAATAGTTTGTTATTATACTCAGTGACATTAGAAGTGTTACACGAACAAAAAATAATTTTTTCAACTTGATTTTTTGGCAATGAGGTAGTCTTAGATTAACAATGAAACGATAAAATTCTCATAAAACAAAATTAATAATGAGCCGGGCGACCCCGCAGCTGAATACACTTCTGTATACGTCTAGGCATCGACAAAATGAGATAATCGATGTCTGGTTGTGCCACCTCATTCCAAGCAACTCGAACTTCGTGGATCAGATGTGGCACAGTCTGTGGCGGTTGATGCAAAGTGGATAGTCTCCTCTCCATCATATCCCATATATGTTCGATGGCATTCTCCCGTAAATCCGGCGAACGGGATGGCCTCGGCAAACATTAATATGCTTGCTTCTTGAAGAAAGTTCTGGGTGTAACACTTCTAATGTGACTGGGTATATATACGAGTATGACACAGCTCACCTGTATAATAAGTAAAATAACAAAACCGAAAGCTAGGGCAGACATATGATGGGTAGGCGCAGGGTTGTCTACTTGTGTGATGCACCCCATACAACCGAGGAAGAGCAGTAAGGCTGTACCCAGGAATTCTGAAGCAAACATTGTGAAGAATGACGGTTCATTTTTCCGATAACCTGGAAACAAAAATAAAAAATGAAGATATTGAAAATTGATCTGATTTAGCTTCTTTTGTTATACCGAAGGGTCGTACTCTCGGTCTCTCTTTGATCGCACCCTTTCATCTTTACAGTTCTTTCTTTCTTTTGAGAAGGTAAACGTTGAGTTCCTTTTTGTCCTGTACGGAATCACGCCTGGCCTCCACGATCTCCTGACCTAAATCCATTAGATTTCTTTGTGTGGGGATTTCTAAAAGAAAAACTGTACCAGCCTCCCGTAACCACAAGAGATATGCTAATAGACAGAATCAGGAATGCATGTGATGAAATAAGGCCTTATTTGAGAATAATGCTATACCACGTTCGATCATTCGTAGATGTGAATTGTGTATTGAACAATTGGGTTTACATTTCGAGCAACTACTTTAGATTTTGTATGTTTGTCCTAACTATCCAATAGCATTTTAGCTGTAAATAATTAATTTAATTTGTTAAAAATAATATTGGAAAATTAAACAAATTGATATTCTGTTTTTTTGTGTTTATTTGGAGTTAGGAATTGTTGCTGTGTTTAAAAACACAATCTAAACGATCATCTTAATCGCTTGTAATGCCCAAATCGAAAATGTAAAAAAAAAATATTATTTTCCCATAAATAATTAAAAATGCATCGAACCTTAAAAATCTAAATATCTCAAAAACGGCTAACTATAACGAAAACTCACAAGAGAGCTTTTTTATGTTGAAAAGTGCGAATAATAATTTGTTTTATTCAAAAAACCAAAAATTGCACTAAGTAAAATTTTTCGGTCATTTTAATACACTACAGGTACAGTAGAGAGCGCCCTCTAACTGCTGCAGTGAAACTATGCCCATGGTTCGTTTTGTCGTACCAAAAAACCCTTTTTTTTTGCTTTAGGACCAAGCCATGCAGCCAGAAACTAGGTTGGCATTTTTATATATCTAATTATGGACAAACACACAACGTCAGAACATCCATGGCGAAGGCGAGATTCGAACTCGCGGCCCGGCCGGCCGGCTGATCAGTAGCACGACACTCTGACCCACGCGGCCAACCGAGGTCCCCCAAAAAACCCTTGTATATCAATTTTCACTTTTATACATCAAATATTGTTCGAAATATTAAAAAAAAACTATTTTAGAAAGTAAATTTAAACACCCTGTATTTCGGAAGCCACGCATTTTTCGACCCATGTTTATATAGACTTTATGCATTAATTTTAAAAGTTATATCGAATCTTAAAGTTATGCAACAATAAACTGAAACACCCTGTATTTATACGCCTCCAAACCCAATAATTCTACGCACATATTAGGCATATTTCACTCATCATACACATTTGCCCTTAAAACTTAGAGATATCTCCTTCAGTCGGGTGTCGGTATGTGTGATGTCGTCCCCTGATGGAAAAGCTTCCTTCATTTTCACAGTCTTTTCTCTCCTTCAGAAAGGCTGGGGTATTTCTAGATTTCTATTGTTCCGAATCAGCGTCAGCGTTCTTCTATTGTGAGGTTATGTGTTCTTTTTGGAATGTAGGAAATGTCGGGCTTATGAAACAGATTGATAAAAATAAAAAGCATCAACAATTTGATGCAAATAGATATTTGTAGCATAACCTCAAAATGGAGCGTTGAGACGGAATGATTTTCTCATAAAATATCGTTGGTCCCTCATAAAGTTGGTTTTCTAGGGTCCGCGCATTGGCAACCAGCGCCTTTCTACTTTTAACATTCATTGCCAGCCAACTGACAGTCCATCATTTCCTGTTGAAGCGTAGGTAAGGTGTGTGGGTCCGTCGTTTTATTTCCAGATTTTGGGATATTGGGCCGGCCCAATCACCAGTTTATGGAGTAGCACCCTTTTTTGTACCTACTTTACGTTTGCTTTGGTTGTTTTTTTGCTACTCTCTCCATTTTTATGAGATCTTAACCTCTTCAGCGTTGGAAAGGATTGAGAAAAACCACCGTCTGCACTCCTCCAGCTTTGAAGCTGCCTTGTAGCTGTTTTGTAGCCGAAGTCGATGAGAAACGGCCCCCTTCTCGTAAGAAAATTGTTGTATGTTTCATGACGTGATTTTTCGTTTAATTCAGGTGATTATGTTTTATAGTGATTACTGATATGTAGCGGAAAATCATAAAGGCAATCTAGTGAATCGATCTCACCGAACAATGATTTAACTATTATTTGTGCGAAAAACTGTTATCAGCTACTTGTTATACAAGTGTACCTACATTTTTAACTCTAAGTAAAATCAATTATTGATTTCAAACATTCATCTTATAAAATGGGTTAAGAATGTGTACACAGCCTCTTATCAATTCATGACATAATGTGCCTTGATTTGGAAAAACACTCTTTTAGAACACCTGGCAAGAGTGCGTCAAAATATATACAGGATGTTATTTAAGTACGACGCCAAACTTCAGGAGGTGATTCTTTGAGTAATTTTAAGATGAAGAGTTCATATAAATATACACTACCGTTCAAAAGTATTCGAACACCCATAAAACCAGGAACTGATGGAAGTTAATTATAAACATTACAATATCTGTATGAAACATTTATTTTCTTAATTCTTAACAACATACAACTACTTATAATCAAAATAGTCATATTTTTGACTCATCAATGTGCCATGCCTAATTTTCCTAAGGTGGATGCGGTTATTTTTCGCCATTCGTCTTGTAATATTCTCCATAAGTGTTTTTGAGATATAGGCCATCATTACCGTACTTGTCTATTCAGTTCATCCTACAGCAACTCTATCGGATACAAATACGGGAATTGGGGATGCCATTGCATGATCTTCAAAATATTTTTTGCTTCCAAAAATTGCTTGCAAAGCTTGGATGTGTGTTTGGGGTCATTATCATGCTGAAAGACAAACTCCGGACCAATATGATTTTGTGGTATGGCTCTATAAGCTTCTTTATTCACTGTTCCTTTAGTTTCACAATATCCCCCAGAGCGGAACCACCAAAACAGCCCCACATCATTGTAGACCCTCCACTGTATTTGACCGAAGCGACGGTGCATGATTCCCTTTCGTTAGGCCGACGGCGGACAAATACTTGGTACCAAAAACTTCAAATTTCGATTCATGGCTCCACAGGATCTTCTTCCAGTCAGCAACTGTCCAATTTTGATGTTGTTTGGCCCAATTCAGTTTCTTTTTTTTTGTTAGTAGCCCTGAGAAGTGGTTTCGATACTGCTATGCATCTCTTGAGTCCAGCTTCGAATAACCTTCTCTTAATTGTAGTCACACTTACAGGTGGTCATGCGTCTATTGCGTTTACTTTTCGCTATTATGCTTGAGTCTCAGTGGAAGTTGTAACTCTGGGTCTCCCTGAACGACGGCTATTGGATGTTGTGCCTTGAGCCCTGAATTTCTTAATAATGTAGTGTACAGACGACAGTGGCTTATGAAGTTTTGAAATTTCTCGAATACTCCTGTCGGACTTATGAAAATCAATAATAACTCCTTTTATCTAATCGGAATATAAAATAAACGAAAACGCACTTGCTGAACAATCTTGAACAATAAGGTATTGAACCACGGTTGGTTTATCAAATGAGACAAGATAATTGAAGTAAAACTGTGTTATGGGCTTACGTACAACACAAATTAAAAGAAATACATAATCTAAAAACAAATCCTGAGAAAGAATTCCTATACAAAAACATAACAATAATCTTCTAAAGGTAAATAAATTTTTATTATGGCTAATGATTAGACCCCAATAGTGTTAGCAAAATTTTCATAATAACCTTTCAGTGATGCTTGATTTTCATGGTGATGGTTTTCAGAAAATAAAGAAAAATAAATACGTACTGAATAGTTTTTTTTTGTTTGTTATGATTTTAAATGGAAATATACATGTGTTCAAATAGTTTTTAATGGTAGTATAGGTCCAGAAATGCTTCATTTTCAAGATACAGGGTGTCAAACTGTTTTAAAAAAATCAGTTTTTCCTAAATATCTTAATTTACTGTCAGTCGATTATGTTCAAATTTGGCAGTGACATAAAGGGTAGTAAGGGTCTAATTTAGCCCCGATTAGAATGAAATGATCAAGTCCAGGTTGGCCCGGAAACACGCCCTAACCAATATCTTTGACAAAAAATTTCTGACTTTTAAGCAGCTAAAAATAAAACTTTTTGGTCTCCTGGGTTTGTTCCATATCTCGCTTCGTTTGCGAGATAAAAAAGCAAGTTTTAATTATATAATTACCCCCTGACGACTCGAGGAGTCTTTGAAAAGGTGGTATAAAGTAAACGTCTTATAAAAAAAATCTGTAACTTTAAGAAACCGTAGTGGCAACACTGCCAACCCGCTCAGTGCGCATGCGACTAGCGACTATTATCCCACCAACAGCAAGGGTGTGCGCTTCTTCCTGTTGGAACTGGTATAGTCTAGTCTTTTATGCTCTAGTCTAGTGTCTAAATTCCGTACCAGTCCGGAGTCTGCAACAAAATTTGGCTGAGAAGTGAACAACCGGAGTTTTGTTGATCTGGTTGGTATTAACGCTATTTTCTATGTTCTATAGATTTTTTATTTTCCACGCATAAGCCAGAAAATTAATTTTGGTTTGTTTTTAATTTTTATACTATAAAAGAATCGTGTCTAAAAACTGACAAACGGAAAAATGGAAATGTAATATAATCTCAATTACGAATTGTTTCGTCCATACTCAAGCTATCATTATCATCTATGTCTATTTTATCTCGGAAATCCCTGTATACAGGGTGACTTTGAAGTTGAGTCATTAATTTTCAGATAATGATTGTAGAAGGAAGATAAACCAAAATATGTGTGTAAAAATAAAAAAAAATTAAAAAAAAATGTTACCTTGTTTTATAAAGTATCCTCCCGACAAGTATTTCAGTGTGGACCTGTATTTGATCGTGAGGTCTTGGAGCACCGGCATGCCGTCCATATGTGAGGTCTTAAGTCAAATGATTCACGAACCCGTTGTACTACATTAACAAAGGCACGA